ATAATGAAAAAAAACTTATGGTTATATATTGTTCACCATTCAAATATTTTCACCTCTGTTGGATGAATCTCAGTTATCATTTCATGCTTCCTCTCTTTATGCCGACATGTTTTGGTTTGGGTGTTGGTCATGCATGTGATGATCATACTCCCATAGGCTATCTAAATTAAGTGTGGTGCTTAGGTTATATAGCCTACCCTAATCAAATTAGGCATGGAGTCGAGTTTGATTATTGAACCAAAACTACTAGTGTAGATTGTGCTTGATCATATGGACTAACCCTTATAGGAATTTATCAACTTCATGAGGGTAAGTCTTTGAGATGACAACATAATTGAAAACTTATTTGGTGAATCTTGGTAATAAAAACAATAACAATAACAATAATAATAATAATAATAATAAAATAATGGTAAAATAAATTTTGCTTGCAAGTTTGCCTCTTTTTAATAAAAGTAGCCGAAGGACTATAGGCCTTGGGCTAGCTTGGGGAGGACCCCCCACAGAGGTTCTTGAGCCCCTCCTCTATCTCCCTTGCTAGCTAGTTGGTTGTTTCTCTCTCTATGTTGCGCTGCCACCGTGAGCCCTGCTCTGCCGAGCCGCCATGGCCGTCGGCCATCACCGGCAAGGCCACCCCGTGGCACTCCACCACCACCACTACACTCCCAACTCTCTCGCACACATGTACACGTAGTTAGTTGTTTAAGATAGAGCCTCTAGGGCCAAGGTCCCCGCAACGCCGCCGTGACCTCTCCGACGAGCCACCGCCGCCGTCGTAGGCACCCATTACCGACGGCAACCGCCCCATCGGCCGAGGCGTGACCCCACGGGCACCATACACCTATCACACGCCAACACTAAGGATCGACGTAGCCGGCGTTACCAACTTCGACGAGCCAGGCCTCCCCCTCCCTATTCCGATGACGCGACGGCCACCTCCGTCCATTGCCATCTCCCCTCCTCCCCCTCCTTTATCTCTGCCATGTGGGGGCAGGTGGAAACGGCATTGCCATCATCCCTCCGTCCCCATCAGTCTCCCCTCTCTCTCCCTTTTCACTAACACGTGGGCCCGTGGCCATAACGCTGACGCCGCTGTCTCTGCTGACGTAGGCCGGGTAGCCACCTGTCATCCATACACACACAACATGGGGTACACTTTATTAGAAAATACTGGGTACACCTGGCTAGTGTACACATAGAGCTAAAAATACATCTTCCTAGCTTAGAAAAATTCCCAGAAAAACTTTAAATAAACTAGATGCATTAGGGAATTTAATCATGTAGTTTGCACATATTTTAATGCACTAGAAAATGCATATAAAATTCCACCTTGTTAAATCACTATAGGATAAATTTCTAAAATATATAACTTTTAAACCCTAACACCTTTTTACGTGAAACCACCTCTAAAATTCATCTAAAATCCAACTCAATCATTTGCACTTAGTATCACCATATTGTTCCATGTTTGCTTTTGCCCTTTCTATTGTGGTTAGCGGTAGTCTTATTTCGATCGATACGCCCGACAGACGACGGTAATCGTCAGGAGGACGAGGACCTGAATTTCGTGGACGTGTCAGAAGGTGACAACGACGAAGGCAAGTCCTAGCTTTCCTCCCTACCTTCTTGCTTAAAACCAATAAATGCTAAAACTTGGTTGTAAGATTATTACTCTAGAAAATGAACTCGGTTATTGTGATATGATTAAGATAAATGGTTATCTTGTCACTTTATGAGCTCCACATTATGAATAGAAGTAGGGATAATAATGGAACTTAAAATTGTTAAACCTAAAACTAAACCCCGACATGGGGTGAGTGGTGGTAAACTATGGAGGTAGTTTACCATGGCAGGGATGCTTGGAGAGGATTTCTGTGGAAGATACTTGCCTCGGTCACATATGGACCGGTTCGTAGTCCCTCCCGACTAGTGAGTTATTACGTACAGTCACATGTCTATATGGGTAGGCTTTATCTCATACCCCGTTAGATAGAAGTATAATTTCTACTAGGAGGCTGGTGTAGGCAATGGAATATCAGGAGCTGACACGGGGGATAGGTTTCCTTCCGTGGTCCGGTTGGCGTGGATGCTATGTGATCTTCCACGTTAAGCTTTTGGTTTTCGAACGCGTTCGAGCCCTTGATTTTCTTGGCCATGTTCGAGCCATGTTTTCTTTTGTGATGATTTGGTATCATCACGTTGGGGGGGGGGTTCGTATCTTCCCGGTTTTGTGTTTTCAACCCCTGAGAAGCCGTAGTAGAGTTATATGGTTATCTAACGTCGCGTACATTCGGGTACGAGATCTCGTTAGGACTATTTCGCCCACTGATCATGGATGAGGTTGCACCTATTGTGTGGGAAAATTTGTACATCTTTGTAGAGTTTATTAAATCTATTCGAATAGTCACGTCCTTGGAATGGGAAATGCTAGGATGGGATACTATGATTAGTTTTACTTTTATATGTGTAATGAAACTGGTAATGGAATTGATGCTAACCCGGGTACTAGTGGGAATGGCAATACTCCGCTAGGACCCAACCCTTAATTACAATCACCACTACACTTTTATTTCCACCCTATTGTTAGGGCTTGCTGAGTACGTATGTACTCACCCGTTGTTGACTCACAGACTGATGAGGACATGACACCATCGGATACGACCATTATTTATAAGGTGAGCTTGTTCCTATATTTGCATAGTGATTTTTTGTATAATTCACTTGGTTCCACATGTACATGTCGTTATTTGAATGTAAGATACAAATGTGTCTCAACATGCAAGTTCATCAAAGTTGAATTTTCGGTTTATCGGCAGCTCGACAGTGCTTCATTGGGAAGGCCATAACTCAGCCATCCGGAGTGCGATCGAGGTCAATGAGCACTTGATGGAAAACTTGTTTGATAAGCTTTCAAATAGATCTGGTCACATCTCAATATCACGTTGGCAAGGCCTCCAAACCATCAAGATATTCTGTCCCTGTTTCTGCCGGGAGCTACACTGTCGTCATGGGCTTGTTATTCATCCTTGGGACCCTTGCCCAAGTGGGAGCACACCCCAAGGACTTGGGGAACCCACAGGAAGACTTTGGATGTCCTCCTCCTTGGCCACCACCTTAGGAGGCCAGCAAGGACGTCCAAGCCAAGCCAGAGGCCCAGTCCAACTTGAGTTCGAGTCCATCTCGGGCTACAGGACCAGCGTGTAGTAAAACGGACGTCCAGGTCGCATACGGACTCCGTTTTCGATGATCCACATATGGATGGAAAGATAATTTCATAAGGAAACCAATGGAAGTGGTTCAACATCAAAATTTCATTAGAATCAACGGAAATCATTGAAACAAGTTGACGTCCAGAATCTATCACAGCGCTGCGTCGTCGTCTTTTGGGCCGTTGGGCCTTGTAATATGTTGGGACACCTTTAGGACGTGAAGAGGGATCCTTGGACGTCCCTTAGGCTATATAATCAGTAGCCGCCACCTACATTAGGTTTTGGGTTTTATTTTAGATCAATCTGTCATTGAACAGTCGCTGTTATCGGTTTGCAAGACCCCAACTTCGAGTGCTTAATCATTCATCTGCAATTTTCACTTCAATTGAGTTACGTTTTATCTTGTTCTTGCTTGTGTTCTTCGATTCGCAGTAGGGATTAGCCTTCTTGGTGAGGTCAACCGGATTGTGATACGGTTGATAACCAGAGGAGACGTGGTGCTAAGATTGCAGGGTTCGAGTTTTTGTGATCTGAAGCCGGATCGGTGTGTTGCTCTCCGAACAAATCGTTGTTTATTTTGAACCTGACGGAAGATCGAAAACCCTGTCCCTATCACATACCTCGGCACGGAAGAAGACTATGACTTCGACGAAGAAGCGTACCATGAGGATTAGGGTTCCCACGATGAGATACGTTCATAGGAACATGACATCTTCGACCGCGCTCAAGTTGCCTGTGGAATAGGGCACCGCTTTGCTGTATAATAACCCGGTGAGACCACCAATAATGCCGTTTCACGGCCATAGTCCTCCGCTAGATATGTAGCTATGACCCTACCCCTTGGGCCACTGTTGTAAGACTTTATTTTTCTAGATATCAATAAAGCTCAGAACCTTTTATTATATATCTGTGTACTATTCCTGCGAATTTATGCGTGATCCTAGCGCAAATACGGATGCACTTAGGACTCTCAAATTGAGGGGCCGACGCGGCGGCCGGAGGTCGAGCTTGGCCATGGCAACGGCGGGAGGAGTGGGGGCAGGGAGGAGAAGAAGGAGGCCACTACGGGCGCGGTAGGGACTCGCCGGAGCTCCGCGGCAGTGGCGACGGTGACGGAGCTCTAGTGAGACCCTACAGCGCCATGGGAGGAGGGGGGTGGGTAGCGGTGGGCGCGGTCAAGGACGAGGGCAAGGTCGAGGATGAGGAGGACGGAGGTGGGGTCGCGGGGGCGAGGACAAGGGCGCAGGGAAGATGAATAGTAGCGGCCGCGGCAGATTCCGTCCAATGGGTGGACCCTAGCCCCCCCTTCCCTCCTCCAAGCCTGTAAACTTGATATGTTTGGGTTTTCCCCATTAATACATCCATTAACAGAAAAACTGACCCATGGGCCACAGCTAAATTTAATCGGGCAAAATCTATCTCGGGGTTTCGGCTCATTGTCACGTGTGTTTGTTCCGTGGAGCCTGGTTCCGGCTCGTGATAACAGAGCGTGCAGGCCTGAATCTCGGAGTGGGCTTGGGCTTGGGCTGGCTCGGTTCTGCTGACATTTTTTAGTGGGCTTGCTAGCTCACACTCCACACCAACCAACCACCACCGCCCGCTGCGCCGATTGGCCTGTTCCGTGTTCCCCTCTCCCCCCACCGGCCCTGCCGCCGCCGCGCCCTCACGTCCGTGGAGAGCATGCAAATCCCCTCGCGCCCGATTGTTCGCCTCCTCCGACGCCCCAACGGCGCACCTTCTCCTGCCCCGATGCACCGCATCTCCCCTCCCTCGCGATCTCTCCTCTCCTCCATGGCTTCTGGTGCGCCTCGCGGGTGGCTACCGACGCTTGCCCAACGAGTTGCTTCAGTCAGGGCGGTGCTCAACCCTCCTGTTCGTCATGTTTCCCGGTGCGTTCTCTTATTCTGATGCTAAAGTTCGCACCTTTTACCTGTTGCTAAAGTTTTTCATGTCGATTCTGACGAATTTTGGATTTGTATTGAGAGATATTCGTTCTTAATTTTTGTTATTATTAAGAATGCTCATTCTTATATGTTTATTATCGACAGGCGTACTAGGAATATTCTTCTAATTAATCTCATCTCATGTATGTACTACAAAATCAGATAATCAGATAAAAATAGGGCGACAAATTCGATTTCAAACAATATTACATTATGATTTCAATCCTAACTGAGAGTTGGATGCTAAGATTTTCCTTTTGTCCTCTTGGTCATAGGTTTCCCCATGGATCTCGGAACATGGCCATCAGCAGTAGAGTGAAAGGCAAGGAATTAGGTAAACCAGACAGGTGCCACCTCATCCCTTCAGCCAAAGATCCTATCCACACAACTAAAGATAATATGATTTTCGTTGACAAGCTTTTTTCCCATCACCAGACGCATGGACAATGAAGAGAATAGGGCTGCAATTGAGGAGTTCATTGCTCATTATGGCGATGGCGGTCCTGCCAACAATGACGATGGGAGCAAAATTTCCATGTACGGTGATGAAGATGTTTATAGGACAATAGATCCCAGTGGAGCAGTCAAAGACGTAGGAGATGGTGAAGATGAAAAGGACCAAGGGGTCAGCAAGGTTAGTGATGACAATGCGTATGAAGAGTTCACTGACTGTGAAGATAACTATCCTCGTGACGGTTCTGTCCGTTGGGCCGGCACTTAGAAGGAGCAGTCACCATGATGGTTCCATATACTGTACCAGGGCACCTTTGGATCTGGCTGGAAAAATGATTATCGTATTGCAGACCGTAATGAGAGTAAGTGATCAATATCTCTTTTCCTATTGTTATCTATTTCGTTCTTAGAACATTTGTCAAGCTATAGGGTCAGCTAATATATTCTTTGTTGAAAGGTTAAATGCGCAATGCCTTTTTTTTTAACTTTATAAAAGGATAAAATTACTCTTCGTGTACCAATTATGGGACAAGTTGCAGAAAACCACATGTATAAAAAAAAAAAATAGTTATTCATGAATCGTGGCATAGCTGACTATGAAGGAGAAAGTAAGGTAATGACTAGGGGCGAAGTTAGATCCAAGAGGTTTACATATCCATGGAAGATACTTGGTGTTTCCCCTGGCAATGACTAAATGGACAAGTTCCTTTTGTGAAGCATTTTGGCATGAATAAATTGGGTACATGGAACTTTTCAATAGAGTGCACATTTTGGGTGGTCGTGGTGGTGGGGGGGTAATTTTTTAGGAATAAACTGGTGCCAAGTGATGCTACCTATTACAGAGGAAGGAACCTTACATTACACCATAAGGGATTGGTGTGGAGGGCAATGCTACCGCTTATGCATCCCTAGGGTGTGAGCTCAGCATCCACCAACAATCCGACAAGTTCCTTCTATTAGAAAGAGCCTGAAGTCTAATAGATTAGGAGCTTGCCTTTTAAATTGAAATGTATCTCCTGTGTTAAGTTAGGGAAGGGCAGCACAATAAATGAAATTTGTATCAAAGCCACAACTCTAAATATTGGAAGAAATTTTTTACTTGCCACTACAAAGTATTATAATCCCAGATCTTCTATTGGAAAAGATGTAATATGGTCTATGGCATCAACATTACAAATTTCAAGACCTATCAAGACGTGGCTTATAATTCCACTCTCTTGCCTTTCTATTTCCTCTTTCTTTGTTGATCTGTGGTCATGGTCAGTTCCCACCTTGCATTAGGACGCCATCACCCTCTACGTCAACATCCACCTCCCATGTCCCAAGTGATCATTCCCATGGCGGTCGCCATCGAACTGATGATGTAGAGGCCAGGGTTGATGAAGTGTTACAGAATGAAGTTGTGTGCTTGAGGTGGTCAACTGTGGACCTTTGCAGCAGAGCCCCCTCAACTCCAATCCATGGTGGTTTTTTCCCCAATTTGGGGTCAGATCTCCTTTTACCTTTTTTTTTCTTTTCTCCTATCTTGTCTGGATTAAGGGGGTGTTTGGGACTGCTCCGCTCCACGTTTTTTAGCCAAACGGTTTCAGCTCCACACACTCCGCTCGAGGAAAAAGGGTGGAGTTGTGAGAGCACCTAAAGAAGTGCTCCACAAACTCCAGTTTTTTGTGGAGCTGCTCCACGGTGGAGCAGAGTTTGTGGAGCAGTCCCAAACACCCCCTAAATTCGTTACTGGAAATTATGTTGGACAAAAGCTAGAATTTTTCCTTCTATTGTCCCACATGAAGTGATCTGGTGTTAGTAATTAGGTGGTATAGGGGTAGGGGAGTAAAGTAAGCCGAACAGACAACTGAAAAGTTGAGTGAGTACAGTGGATTTTCAAACTTTTACTTTTATTATACCATGCAGATTTTTTTCTATTGTTAATTTACTGTTACATTTTTGCATGTAATCTTTGATAAAGCTCGGTTGGAGGCAATGATGTTATCGGATCCCAACAAAGATTGCATCCTGGTGGATGGAACTTGCAGATGGCATAGAGCACAGTCCATGTTGCAAATTTTCTCAGTAAAGTTGGCTAAAATTTCTGTGGTCGATGGCCCAGTACAGTTGTATGGATACATTGCGGCACGGGATCTTGTCGACCCATTACTTAATTATATTGTCAATATTGGCAGGGATGATCCCATCACTGTGGAGAAGGTACACTTCCACACTTGTCTGTAGTTAGTTCAAATTACTTTATTTGTTTCATAGAAAGGCCAAGTTTATAACATGCATAGAACAAATGTGAATAGAGCTTACCTTTTGTTGGTATCTTACAGCCACTTAGTCTCTGTTACACTTCCACACTTGTCCGTAGTTAGTTCAAATTACTTTATTTGTTTCATAGAAAGGCCAAGTTTATAACATGCATAGAACAAATGTGAGTAGAGCTTACCTTTTGTTGGTATCTTACAGCCACTTAGTCTCTGTTACATTAGTGAAGTTAGGATAGAGTGGAGATGTATTAACTGTGCTCTTATGTGATAGTTGTAGGCTCAGTTTGCAATCTCATTGTCCTTAATTATTTGAAATAAGATTAGTCTATGGTCGTGGTGCCATGTAATTTTCATCATAAAATGGAGAGTTTCTATTTTAGTAGAAATGAATAACATATATGGGCCCAAAAGGGGCAGCTAAAATACGCTAGTGTTATATGAGTTGACAATTATATCTAGTACTGTATTGTGAATGATTACGATGAGAACAGACCGAAATTAACCATGAAACGAAGCGCAAGTGAGTATTACATGCTCCAAACAAAATCGAATAGAATAGTTTATAATCCTTTGGTTTATGCTTAGTACCACATAAAATTGATAGTGTGTGCATATGGACATGACTTGAATGGTCCCATTGACCAATCACAAGGAAGTCCTTTTCCCTTTACATTTCAAATAAGCTAGCATAATTAATTTGTTGGAAATTTGGGATTCAAAATCAACTCATATATAGCTTGGGACAAACCTTTCCTCTCTGACAGACACTCTTACACACTTCATAAACATTATGTTTGATATGTGACAAACGTTTTGGGTATCAACTGTAAAATAATCCCTTCAACTAGATATTTTTATTACTACAACATCACAAGCGAAGCATTTAGCTTTAGATACCCTTTACTTTGCTATAAAGAGCTACTAAACAATAATCTTTTTGTAGGGCTCCCTCATTGAAACGACTGGCCCTAAACGAGGGATTGAATTGTCTTGCAATGTTTTAATTGAATATGACATGAGGATCAAGACAGGAGAACAGGAGAAAGGTGATCTACAGCTGATTGATGGTGTATCTATCGTTGATGAACTACTGACATCAAGTAACCCATGGACGAATCGCATTCATGGAGATTGTGGCGCAATTGACATAACTCAAATGTGCATTGATTATGCATTTGAGGCGACTGTAGAAGTTGTCATATCAGAAGTGCAGAGTAGCTTTGATTTGCTTCTCAGCTGTTTTACCAGTGGGCTGCATGAGGAAATTCGGCTCTTTGATGGTGTGATTGGCAAGTCACTTGGGTTGAGGAGGCATGTGCTTGCTGTTAGGAAAGGGAAGTGTATGGATTTGAAGTTCAAGGTAGGCTTTGGGTCTGACTGTTGCACTGAACATTGCCGTTCCTTCGAAGCGACCAATCATGGATGTTCCAGTGAGCAAATAAAGATGGAGTCCGCTTTAGTCTTGGTGAAGGTGACTTGGTCGTCTTTGGAATATTCTCTAAATTGATTCCTCATATGTATTGAAAGGATCAAGATGCCCAAGAGGGGGGGTTTGAATTGGGCTTTTCTAAAAATTCTTGCAATGATTAAGTCCTAAGCAAAGTCCACTTCACCCCTAGTGCCTAAAAGTATATACTATTGTTCTACGGCACAAAAGAGTTTTGCAACCTAGTTCCAATCCTATACTAGCAAGTCAATTCTATGAATATAAATGACAAAAAATGAATTGCTCAAAGTAAATGCACAAAGTAAAGGGAGGAAAGTAACATGGTGACGTTTTGCCGAGGTATTGGAGAGTCGGCACTCTCCACTAGTCCTCGTTGGAGCACTCGTACAAGGGTATGGCTCTCCCTTATCCGCGCAAGGATCAAGTGCTCTCTACGGGCTGATTCTTTGCCACTCTGGCTCGGTGAATCGCCCACAACCGTTCACAAGTTGAGTTGGATCATCCACAACCTTCAACGGATGATCACCACACTCCCAATCACCACCAAACCGTCTAGGTGATGCCGATCATCAAGAGTAACAAGCACAGACTCTCACTTGACCCAACCAAGCCTAATGAGATGAGTGAGTGCACACTTACTACTCTCAAAACTCTAATGAGGTCCTTAATCTTGAGATTATCAAATCACAAACTTTCTCACTAGGCACTTACTCTCCCTTGGACTCAAAGGTGTTCTTCAGCTGATCAAATGAGCAAGAGAAGTATTTGGAGGAGTAGGAGAAGTATAAATACCCCTCACAGCCAAACATACCCGTTGAGGTTCAAAACAGCCTATTAAGTGACGACCGGGCGCGTCTGTCGGGTTGACCGGACGTGTCCGGTCAGTAGCCAACGGCTACATGACGTCAACTCAACAACTCTGACCGGACTCTGACACGTGTCCGATCAACACTGACCGGACGCGTCCAGTCAACGATTTCACTCTCTGGAACCTCTCTGTGTAACGACCGGACTCTGGCCTGCGTCCGGTACGAAAAACACTCTCTGGAACCTTATTGTGTAACGACAGACTCTGCCCTCGGACGCGTCCGATGCAGGGTCCGGTGCTCTTTGGAGAGCAACACCAACTTACAGTCGCGTCCGGTTCGCTCTGGCACAACGTCCGGTGCCTTAACCTGGCCTTGTTGTACTGACCGGACGCGTCCGGTCATTAGGACACCAGCGTCCGGTGGACTGTAAAACACTCCATTCACTTCCAAATCAAATTTCTTTGTGAATGAAAGATGTTCTATATGATCTTTAGGGCATCCCTGAGCTACCTAGTGCTATGTTTTATCAAGTGTGCACCACACCTAAATCATTAGACTCATCTAGGTCAAGCTACCCCGCTCATACCCCCTTTACAGTACGGTCAAAGGAAAAAACAAAGTCCTAATCTACTCTAAGTGCCTCTCAACACCAAACGACACTTAGAACTAGATCGTCCTTAACCTTGTCAATCATCCTTTGAAAACCGAAACGATTCCATTGACAGGGGCATGAACATCATTGATTGTCCAATCAATCACCATTATCATGACCTAACTCAATTTGCCTATGCAAAACACACGTTAGTCACAATAATCTTAAGTTATCATTAATCACCGAAACCACTAGGGGCCTAGATGCTTTCAATCTCCCCCTTTTTGGTGATTGATGACAACAACCTCGAGTATGTGTATAAGATAGATGGATGAGGTTTTCAACATACTTGGTTCATATAAGCATGAGACAATAAGAATAAAGGGTTAGGCATGCTTATGCGAACCAAGCCACATATAGGTACTCAAAGGATATGAAATAAGCATGAGTACTAAACATTGTGCTCACAATTAATTGGAGTGAAATGCGGAAGCATAATAATCAAGAGCATAAAGCGAGTGACATGACATATATATATAAAAAGTAGAGAGCACACATTTCACAAAGTCTCGATGCATGAAAAGTTGCATGAAGTGTATATCACACAAAAGAACAAATCCACCTCACAAACTCCCCCTAACTCTAACATACTCGTCCTCTCCCCCTTTGGCATCAAGCACCAAAACCTAAGGGTCTAAAGGTGGGGCTAGAGCAGACGAGCCGGCCTGAGGCGTGCGTGGAGAGATCTCAAACTGGGATAAGTCCACGTCTGAGTCTGAGCTCTGTGCTGACTGCCCCTCTGGAACTGCAGGTGAAGGTGAAACGGTCTGGGTTTGCACAGGTGCCTCTAAAGCTAGACCTGCCGGTTGTGCCTCTAACACAGGAGTAGCTACCACAAAATCTGTCTGAATGGCCTCTAGAAGTGTAGAAGCTGGAGCTGACTGGCTCTCAAGCTGAGGCGGCTCGGAACTGGCAACTGAAGAAGGTAGCGTGCCGGCTGTCACAATCACTAGATCTGTCGAGGTAGTCATGGTCCCATGTAGGTGTGGAGGTGTGGGGTGACCCGTAAGCTCACTGAACGTAGCAAACAGATCTCATGAAGTCTCGGCTAATGTCACTGAAGGAGTGAAGCTTGTGACGATAGGTGAGAACTATGGTGCCTGCCCAACGCCTGGTGTAGCCAACCATTGAGAGACCTGAGCAGAGGGCAAGGCAAATTGTCCCTGACTCTAAAGTCCACTGGACTGAAAAACTAGAGTCAAGACAGTGGTAGTAGCGACCAAACCAGGTGTCTGAAGCTGTGGAGGTCTATAGGGTGGTGCACCAGTGGCCAAAAGTATGTGCTCCATGAAACCAAAGGTGGTCTGCTGGAAAGCTAAGAGCTGGGCCTGGAGCTGATCCTGTCTAAGCTGCATCTGAGCCTGAGCTGCTGCCTGTGATGTGGCCTATCACTGCTGCTCCTCTGCCTGCCTCTCCTGCTGTCGCTGCATCCGATCTAGTATGGCAAGCAAAGTAGGATCCGTCTGTGGTGCCTGTGGAGCCGACCTAGACCCTCCAGCCTCAGAGTCGTGTGCCCGTGGGGGCATGCATGGGAGCGGCTCGTAGTCCTCATCTGTACTATTAGACGAGAGGTCATTAGGTACTGGGTCATCCTGCTGAGCCTCAAGGTCTGCAAGCTCTATCTCAACAAGGCCCCTGATAGCCTCATCCTGCTCCTCAACTGACTCGGGAACTGGGGCTCTCTGGTGTTGCTGTCTAGCGGTCCTGTTCCCGCTTCGCTGCCCATCAACTGGCGCATATCATACTTAGGAAAGGTTGTAGATGAGTTCTTCATGGCCGAAGCAGACTCAGGTGCTGTAACAACCCAGAAATCTACACACCAAAAATACCAACTACAAATTTTTTTCTTAAAAATCCCATGTGATGATGAGTGTCATGTATAGAAACCCAACCTAAGAGTTGCATCGGAAGTAACCCAACCCAAGTCATCACATAAGCATAGCATGTCATTTGTTGATTATGAATATTTAATTTCTAACAAAAGTGTTGCTTACATTGTTAACTCAAAATGTGAGTTGGATTTTCATTGTTTCATGTAATGCCTAACAACACCTTTAAAGTAATAAACCAAATTTGAATTTAAACAAATGGAAAAGAAATGAAAAACATAAAAAACAAAAGAAGAAGAAGGCCTCCCGACCAAATTTGCTTCGGCCCAACCCAGCAAGAACCAACTACCGCCCAAATTTCCCTTCACATCTCCTCTCCGCTAGCCCACACGCGCGTAGTAGCAGGCCGGCCCCAACTCGCAAGACAACACCCATCTTATGGCCAATGACGCCCGCGCGCCATTTCGCTTATGGTCATTTGCCACTTGGCCCCACGCCACCTACTGTTCACCCAGGCGCCCTCGCCCAATGCAGCCGCCAACGGACCCCACTCGTCAGCCTTTTCCCTGTTCATCTTCTCCACGCCCACGCCGATTCTCCCCTCCAACAGAACGCCGATAGCACTAGCAGGGAGCGGGCCAGGGGGTCACGCCCGGGGCATGGCCTTGGCCCCCCCTTGCGCCGCGCCCGCGCAATCCCTCGCGGTCGTTGGATGCAAGCTCGCGCCTCGATCGCCCTCGAATCCCCAACCGCCGATCACCGGGCTCGCCGATCCCCGCTCGGCTATAAGAGCCTCGGCCGAGAGCCCTAGCGCCTTCCATCGCCCGCCGCCACCTCGGTGGCCGACCACAGCACATCGAGCCAAGGAAGAAGAGGGGGAAGAGGAAGAGGAGGGGGAAATGCCGAAGCCGCTGTAGGGGAGGAGATCGCCGGAGCCGAGAGCGACGCCGTCGTCTACATCACCGACGCGGTTCGGCACGGCACTGCATGGCTTCTGGAGCTACACGGCCTCGAATCGACACGGCATCGCCATCCATTCTTCCACGCCACCCACGGTGAGCCCCCCTTCTGGTCTCTCTCTGCCGCCGAACCTCACCGTTGGCCATGGCGCTCCACACCTGGAGCGTGTAGGCCAGTGCCTTGCCTCCGGCCACTAGGAACACACGCACCACGCGCACAACCGCAACCATGCCGTGACTACCCCACTGGAGCCCCATAGATCACCCGCGCGCCTCGCTGTCGTCACCGTCGCCGTGGCCGCCGGGATGTCTCTACCGGCCACCTGGGAACCCATAGCCTCGCCGTGAGCCCTGGACGCCTTCGCCGTGCACCCATGAAACCATAGAAGCCTCATCTGCCCAGCACAAGCCACTGGTGGGCCTGTGTGCGCGACCTCGCCACCGGCGAGCACTGCCGAGCCGCCAGCCGCCGTGGCCAATGCACTGGAGGACCTCGACCACCACTTAGACCTCAGGATCATGATCGCCGTGGCTCGGGGAAGCTTTTCCCCTCTCCAATCGGACACCAGCGCCACCGTAGGGGCTCACAGCGAGCTCGCCGCCGGCGGGGGCGCCGCCGCGGGAGAAACAGAGGGCTTCCTCCCTCACCGGCCACCCATGCATGAACTCGGTGCACGTGAGCCGAGCCAAGGAGAAGAGACGGTGGACTTGGTCCACCATGCGCCCCGTCGTAGGTCCATGGACCATGAGCGCTGGTTGTGTATTGATGCAAGATGGAAGAGTGATAGCTTATGCTTCCCGACAGCTGAAA